CGGCCCACCGGCCTGGACCCCTGTCTCATCTTCCCCAGGACTCCCCGCGCCCTGCCTAGTGGCCTGAGCCGTGGGCACCACATGGTGGGCATGGGCTGACCTGGGTGCACCCACCCCGCGGCCCACGCCCCTCCCCACCCTCATCCTGGGCGAACGAGGGGTGTGGATGTCCCTGACTTCATGCTGCTCCAGGTGCAGCCTGGGAGCTGGGGCCCAGGCACCCCAGCCTGGCCATCGCCTGTTCCTAGGGCTCCAGGCCAGCAGCCCAGAGGCGGCCCTGGGGTCGCTCACCCCCTGCGCAGCCAGGCCCCTGCACCCTGCCCACACGCGTGCTCGGCACTGGGCCTTGGGGCCTTGGCACATGCTGTGTGCCCTGCCCTGGCCCCACAGGCCACTGGTCACCCGCCTCAGCCTTTCCTCCGAGGCCCGCTCGGACCCCGGGTGCTTGGGTCTCGGACCTGCTCTGCGTGGTGCTTGGCGAGGCACCAGCACACACAGGTGCCCAAGCAGCAGATGGGTGCTTCTAGGACCTGGGGTGGGGAAGGAGGGGGCGGGTGTGCTAAGGACATAGGCCACACGGAAGCGTGGACGTGCCGTGGACAGCAGCGCTGCTCTGAGTGGCCACAGGAGGGGACCCCCAAATGCGCATCCTGGTCTTAACACTTCGGCGTACGTGAGCCAGACAAGAGGCCAGACCTGTGGCTGCCCTGGTGTGGACTGTGCACAAAGGCAAGTGCACGCAGGCAGAAGCAGACGCGGGCTCCTGGGGCCGGAGGGTGGGGGCGGCCGCCCATGGGCACCGGGTCCCTCGTGGGTGCCGCAGGTGGCCTGCAGTCAGGGGCAGTGGCTGCACCGCCTGGTTACGATACTGAAACGCCGAGCTGTGCGTTTTGAAAGTGGCTCTATGGGTGTGAATTATACCTCGATGGGGGTTATTAGGAGAAGGGGATTGGTGCTCGTCACGCCAGCCCCCCCGCCCCGCCCCCGTGCTCATCCCAGGCCTGTGGCTCTCCAGTGGCTGCTCCGCTCTCCTGAGGAAACCCGTCTGCTCTCCCAGCCTGTTGCCTCTGGCTCCCCTTTTGCACCAAATTCCCAGAGAGAGCTGTTCATTGCCGAGTCTCCGCTGCACCTGCATCCTCCGTTGCCCCTGGCGCTGGCGTGGCTCCCTCTCCCGTGCACGTGCCTGAGCGACTGCCCTCTGCCCACCCTCGCCTGGGCTGCAGGTGTCCTCCCTCCAGTCACTCCGACACCCGATAGCCCCTCTCAGAAGGCACTCCAGGTCCCAGCCACCGTCCCCTCGGGGTCCCCACCTCTGCCCTCGTGTTCCCAGTCCACGTGCCCTGCAGCCACCAGAATGGCCCTTAAAGCCTGAGGCCACATCACGTGACCCCTTCGCCCAAGCACTCGCTCCCATCTGAGAAGAATTTCGCACTGAGCACAGGGCCTCCCTGGCCCCCGAAGGCGGGTGTTTGAAATGATGATTGATGAGCTTCTGGCTGGACTGATCAACAAGACAAGCAGAGGCCCAGTGCTGGGGACGCCAGTACAGGTCAGAGCTCACCCACTGCGCTCCAGCCCCAGAAACGTGCAGAATGCCCCGCCCCGCCCGGGGGCTCTGTCAGGATCACAGGGGCTAACCATTCAGATCGTCAAGGCGATTCTTCACCAGAATTCGGGAGGAGAACACGGTAATTCCTGGAGGTGAAGAAAAGCAGCTTTGACGCAGGCGTGGACTCAGAAAGGTCGGAGGACACAAGATGCACAAAACAAGCCTATGTCCACGTTACCGTTCGGGAACCAATTGTAAAGTTAAACTTAACAGTCACGTCGGCGGCAGCATTAAAGACGTGACGTACTCGGGAGAACAGCTCTGTGCGCGGGGAACTGTCAGGCGTGGGCGACGCGAGGAGAGGTCTGAATGTTGGAGGCGGCTCCGAGTTCACAGCTAGGAGGGCTTAGTGTCGTCGTCGGGGTCTCAGAGCCTGTATGGACTCGGCTGTGCCCGTGCCCAGGTGGCTGTCTTGGGAGGTGACGAAGGTGAGGTCAGGCCAGAAGGCTGCGGCCCGGGTCCCCCAGGACTGCTACCCAGCATTCTCCCTCCCTCCCAGGGGGAGGGCCTCATCAGGAACCAGCCCACAGGCACCTGGATCTTGGACGTCTGGCCTCCAGAATTGAGAGAAGTGCCTTCCTGTTCTGATGGTCACCTGCACAGACCACAGCCCCACACTGATCTGTAGATTCGGCGTAATCCCAATCAAAATCCTAGCTTTCCTACAGACCTTTACTAGAGGCCCAGTGGACAAAATTTGTGCACTTGGTGGGGGGCGGGGGGTTCCTTAGCCCGGCCCGTGCCCTCTCACAGTCCAGGAGCCCTTGGGGGATGTCTGACTGACGGCTTAGGTCTGCTCCCTCGGACATCCTTAGTGCTGCCGTGGGGATGGGAGAGGCTTCCGCAACCGCCACTTCGCTTGCCAGCTGTGAACCCAGGTTCTGGCTGAGCGGCACTCCCCCTGCGGGAGCACACTGACCACCGGGGGACCGCTCCTGCATTGATCGTCTGCCCCCTGGTGGTCAGTGCGTGTTATAGCAGCTGGTCATTCCGCCATTTGGTTGATTTGCATATTAGGTTTTTATTATATAGGCTAAGCTGATTCTAAAATTTATGCAAGGAAACTAGAAAAGCCAAAATAACTCTGAAGAAGTAGAAAATCAGTATTGTAAAAGGGACTCACATTCCCCTTCAAGACTGACTTGAGTCCGGCTGGTGTGGCTCAGTGGTTGAGTGTCGACCTATGAACCAGGAGCTCAGGATTTGATTCTTGGTCAAGGGCTGTACCTGAGTTGTAGGTTCGATCCTGGCCATTGGAGCATGTGCAGGAGGCAACCAATCAATGTATCTCTCTCTCTTCAATATTTCTCTTTCACTCCCTCTTCCCTCACTTCCACTCTAAAAATCAATGGGAAAAAAATATCCTTGGGTGAGGATTTAAAATAAAATCTTACAACTAAAGATTCCTGAGGAGCTGCTGCGGAGGGAGCCCTTGCTGCTGGCGGGGGCCCAGCGTGTGTGCCTGGGTCACCCCGAGGTCAAGGGGGGACCCGGGCCAAGTGGCGGAGGCGGAGGCGCTGGTGCACACGCTGGACACTGGTCGGTGGTGGAGACGATGGTGCTGCCCAAGACGCCCAGCATGAAGCTCATCTCTGGCACAGGCGCTTGGAGCAGCTGACGGAGAAAATCAGAAGCCTGTTGGAAGCGCCGGCTGTCGTTCTGAATGCGGAGAGGATGTCCACGCCCACCAAGAGAGAACTGGAGGCCGCCTGGTGTGGGCAGGTGTTTGACCAATACTCTGTGGTCCTGCACATCTTCACTGCAGTGCCCGGACCAAGGAGGCGCAGCTGCAGGTGGCCCTGGCCGAGCTCCCCCTCCTCAGGTCCGACATGAAGAACGACCTTGCCCACCTGGACGGACGTGGAGGTAACTCGCTACATCATGGCGTCAGGAGAACCTTCCATGCAGGTGGGGCAGCGTCTGATGAAAGAAAAGGAGATGCAAATCCACAAGGCCCTGGAGACTCCGGCAGCAGAGGCAGCTGCTGGGCAGGCAGCAGAGGCAGCGGGAGTTCCTGGTGGGGTAGCACCAGCTGTGGGAAGACAACGCTGATCAAGGCTCTGACGGGTGACAGCGCCATGCAGCCCCGGGACCAACTGTTTGAAGCCTTCCATCACGGTGCACGCGGGCTCCCTGCTGTCCCGCGTGACCGTCATCTACACGGACCACTGGCGTCCTGTCCCAGCTGCCCCACAGCCTCATCCAGTCCTCAGCCACCCTGCAGGACGTGGCCCACTCAGACGTGATCCTGCACGTGAGGGACGTGAGCCACCCCAAGGCGGAGCTGCAGAAGGCCAGCGTGCTCACTGCCCTGTGCGGCCTGGGCTGCCTGCACCGATGCAGGACTCGGTGCCGGAGGCGCACAGTATGGACCTGGGGCCCGGGTACCACCCATCGGGGCTGCGTGCCCTGGTATGTCTGCCCTCCAGGCTGGGCCTGGAGGAGCTGAAGGCTGAGCTGGAAGTGGCCATGCTGAGTGCCATGGAGGTGAGTGGTGACCCTCCGTGTGCAGCTGGCGGGGCCGGAGCTCAGCTAGCTGCATGGGGAGGCCACAGTGCAGAACGGGCAGGTGGTCCCTGAGACAGGTGTGGCCGTCACCATCATCGGCAGTGCCGCCGTGGCAGGTTCCGGAAGCTCTTTCCAGAATGATCTGCGGACAGTCCTCCCGGCCGGAGACGATGCAGGCCCCACCTCAGTGTTGTGGCCGGAGGTTGGTGGGCAGATGTCGGGGTTCTGACCCTGCCCGGCAGTGCATGGGGGGGGACACACACACACACACACGCACTGTGGGGACCAGCCTCCCTCCTGACGGTTTGGCTACAGGACGCTCCCCCTCGG